GGCGTGGTGTTGGGGCGATGGACGGGGCTGGGGTGTTCTCATCGGATGAGTGAGCGTGCCCTTTGTGCATAGGCATATGTGGATAGATTCATGGAGGCGATTTGGACAAGCGAGTGCATGGATGCCATCTGTCAATTGTCTCTTCCCTCAATTTCCTCGTCGACGTTTGGCAGATGCTGAGTATGTCAGACTCTTGATTGCTCTCCCTCTCTCTCCCTCTGTTTGTGGTCTGTCCTTGCTGCTGGTGTACACCACACCACACTTTCGATTGACCCTCACCCACCCACCCTTTGTCTGCTGTCTTGTACGTGTGTGTTCGGTGGTTTTCCCTCTCCTGCGCGGCCACAAGGAGAAAGTTGTGACCCTCCATCGCAGCCGTGGTACCGTGGAGACAGAGTCACGCCCGTGGGGGCGCCCCCACCAAACGCCATGAGGAGACTTCGAGTTGCCAGCGTGTTGTTCATCTTGATTTGTCTCTGGGAGATATCAGATGCGTCAAGGGACAGCAACGTGACAGCCAACGTGACGGTGGGGATTCTGATCAACCTCAGCGGCTACCAGGACAAGTGCGGCCTGCAGCGGTTTCTCGCCGTCCTCGCGGCCATCCTGCACGGCCACCACCGCCACGCCACCTACTGCCCGTCCATCAAGCAGCTGTCTTCTTCAGCCTCTCTGGTGCCCCACGTCAATTGGGAGGCGAGGGACACAGAGGGCCGCCCGTCTCTCTCTCGGATAGAGTCGTACAGGTGGATGGAGGACCGCAGCAAGTGGCGGGGGAGGCTCGTGGGAGTGCTGGGGCCGACCACCAGCGGGTCTAGCCGGGTGGTGGGGCAGGTGCTGGAGATTGAGGGGATACCGCACCTGCCCTGGGTGGCGTCCGACACAGATGTCGTCGGCAAGAAGATCTACCCGTTCACGTTCAGAACGGTCAGCGCGCAGCCACAGCCACACACAAAACACAATCATCCATTGCTCATATTCTTGTGTGTATGGCACGTCAGGTCGCGTCGAATGCCCTGATCGCTCAGGCCGCTGCATCTTTGATCGGCTCCTTTGGCTGGTCTGAGTTTATTGCTGTGAGCATACCGGCCGACTCGACGTCCCAGGACATCTTCAGCGACCTTTACTTCCAAGTGACTGGTTTGGTCTGACCAAGCCTGGCAGCGGGCGACGACGGCAGCAAAGTAGTGAAGGTGCGACACATCGAGCTAGAGCTTGAGGGACAGATTGCGCCTTGGGGGGAGAACAATGACGCAGCAACGCGTTCAGCCATCCGCAAGACCGTGGGGAAGATTCGTGCTTCCCCTGAGCGAGTCGTCGTCCTGTGTGTGATGTCATCGATCGCCATCAAGGTCAGCCGACGCAGCGAAGGGCGTGTGTGCCGCCCCATACCCATGTTTGCATGTGTTGCCTCTGCGCCTGTGGCAGATTATCCGTGAGGCGGATGAGCCATGGACGGTGTGGATCGTCACAGACGACGTCACTGTGCCGACCGACAAAACAGCCAATGCCACCATCACCTCCCCTCCACTTACCACCAGCCCCCCGCCCCTCATGCACCTCTCTTCTACCACCGCTCCACAGCCCAAGATCGACGCCTCAGAGACCCAGCTGCTCGAAGGTATCTTCGCTGTTCGAGCCTACAAGGGAGGGGAGGAGTATCGTTATTTTGTCGACAAGTGGCCCTTCATCGTCCGCGACGTGGTGGCCCAGTTCTTCCCCCACTTGTCTCTGCCACTCCCCGGCCCGACGCCCGCCCCTGTGTCGGACCTCACTGTCGATGTGGCTGACGTGGTTGCCGAGGTGGAGTCCCTGGTGGCCTACGCCCTTAAGAACTCCCCAGACCGGCTCCTTCAGGCGGATCAGTGTGCCACAATCAGCGCCTCCTACGACGCCGTGGTCACCTTTCTGTTGGCGATGGAGAAGGCCATGGCAAACGGCGGCGATTCGCAAGACCTGACGGGCCCCCTCATCGCCACTCAGCTGCGCAGACTCGCTCCATTCCCCTGTCTGTCGGGCACAGTGGCCTTCGACGAGAGCCAAGACCGCCAGGCCATGATCGAGATCGTCAACTTCGATGGCAAGGATGCCGTGGGCCACCCTGTGGCCGTATGGGAGCAGCAATACGGCCTCGAGTGGCGTGATCGAGACGCCGACCCGGCCTCCAGTGCATCTTTCCCGAGCGTGGTCTGACGGCAGGGCATCGTAGGGTGCTTTCACGCTCACAGGCCGCTTGGATACCCCCTGTGTCGGCTCGGCGAGAGCTTCAACCTTCCATCGCTGGAGTGCGTCAAGTGTCCAGTAGGGCGGTATGCGCCGAAGCTGGAGAGCTGGAAGGTAGTGGATGAGGACGGGACTGACTGGGCGCGGGCGCCTCTTGAGTGCGAGCTCTGTCCCGATGGGCTGTATTCGGACCAGGAGGGGATCTATTCGGACCAGGAGGAGAGGACCGCGTGCACACCGTGCGAAACGGGACACTTCAGAAATAAGTGAGGGGGTGACGAGCGATTTTTGTGTCTCATCTGGTGTGTGTCTATGTATTTGCTCGGCTTCTGTCCACCGCAGGAGGTATGAGGAGGACAATGGCATCCCAGACGCCGAAATGGGGTTGAAGTGCTATCGATGCCCGAATCACACAATGGCACGGCATAAAGGCACGGCGGTGTGCGAGGAGTGCCCTTACGACGGAATGGGTGGGAAAATAAAAAGAGCCGAGAATGCACAGCCCCTTTCCCATATTTGCTTTTAGCACCCAGAGCTGGCGCTGACTCTTGTGAATCTATTGAGAACTGGTATTCTTGATCAGCACCAACAGTTGTAAGCCGTACTTTACTGATGAAAGCCGTACCACGGATGTGTCCAAAATGGTGTGTGTTGCAGAAGCAGGTAAGCGTGTTGTCTTACTGTCTTAAGTTGAAGACGATATGGGCAAACGGGGACAACGCCCTTGACTGATGTAGGCCGTGCGGACCCGACCTCTTCTCGGAAGCGGGGCTTGGAGGGCCTGAGTCATGCTACTGCCCGAGGGGATATATCAGGTTGGCACAACGTGGACAAGCGCATTGTTTGGTGATTTGTGTCTGCTCTATAGGGACAGCCAAAGGCTTGCGTGTCAGGAATGCATAGAAAGCATTAGATGCACCAAATGTATTTCTAGCCTCTCCGTGGTGCCCACGGAAAGCGGATACTATCAGCTCACAGTGACAAGAGAAGCGATCAATAACGGCTCTGAAACGACTACGTAAGGCCCATGGTCATGGCAGAGCTTTGGCGCCTGTCTCTGTGCAGGTATGCTACTGGGATTACGCATTTACCTGTGGTGTTCCCTTGTATCTTAAAGAAAGCCTGTTTGGGCACAGATGAACGCACCGGGCTTACTAGATGCGCGGTGCGTTCTGCACAAGGAAGAGGAGGACTGTCGGCTGCTTCACCGACTTCACTCTTACACATGCTTACCTACAGGAAGGCCACCGGGGCTTCGTGTGTGGTATATGTGACGACAGCTATGCAAGCAATGGTCCACCCCAGCCATGCCTGAAGTGCGCCGACCCTTTTCTAAATGCCTTCGCCGTCACTGCACTAATTAGCCTCTCCTTCGCTGCTATCTTCGGCCTTACCTTCTTTGCAAAGAGGTCCGATAACGCATTCACCTGCACAGCGTGGATGAGTATTCACATGTAGAGCAGGAGCCAGCAAACGTGATGACGTGATTTCAATGCTCTTGAAGATTGCACTGAACCATATCACATCGGTACATTCCCATATCAGAATGCATTGGTACTGACATGCTCTTTATTTCTGCAGATAAGTGTACTAGCTGTATTGGTGCTTTCGATGTCTCACGATAAGAAGATTGACCTTGTTATACGGCCCTTCACCTGGGACGGAGGTCCGCCTTTTGTTGTGGGGCTGTGGGATTGCATTATTCGGCCGGCATCTGACGTAGATCAAATCGCGGTGCTATGGAGACACGCTGTTTGAATCGCCATACCTTTGCTGTCTCTCACTATTGCTCCAGTCCTTAGACTGCTCTTATTTCGACGTTGCAAAGGCAAGGGCATCGCTGATGATGCGGATCACATTGTGCAGAAGGGCTGGTGTGCGAAGCTCAAGAACGCTCTGGACGCACAGTTGCTGATCGTTATACTAATCTTCACGCATCCGAGCGTCACAGGGAATATGCTCATGCTCCTGCGATGTCGGTCTTATGCATATATCGACGGGTCAAATTAGTTGACGAGGCGCTTGCGGCTGAATATCAACCTCAACTTGCTCTGCAACGAGAGCCCGCATTACTCCTTTAGTCTCATTGGCGTTGTTGGCTTAGTGTTGTGGAGCTTCTTGCTCGTGGTCATCGGTGTCATTCTTCTGAAAGGCGCTCAGAACGTTTTGCATACACCCAAGATACGCCGAGTATGAACGCGCTTTACGAGAGACACACCTGCAATTCATGCATTTGCATGCGCTTTCATATGTCCAGCGCTTTGGCTTCTTCTATCAAGTGAGAAGCGACAGAGGGCGACTTGAGGTGACGACTCATCGTGTATTGCCTTCTTAGGGATACAAGCGAGCCTATGCATGTTAAGTAAGCCAATGTATTGGTTCGTTGCGACACAGAAGCTCTCTGTTCTTCTTAATAGGACGCCGTATTTGCGCTGAGGTCCTCGGCATATAGGATACCTTTTGTTGCAACGCAAGTGCATTATATTTCGTGTAGGCGAGTGCTGGTCCTTGTGATTTCCCATGTGGCTGTCGAAGAGCCAGGCCTGCAGTTGGCTGGATGGATTATCATCGCTTCTACCTGTATGGGTCTCCACTTGATTGTCAAGCCATTTGACCACTGCCAGATGGACCTGTTAAATCGATATGAATCGCAAGGGTTGATCGTCTGGCTTGCTTCTATACCCCTGCTTTGCGTGATTACTCAGAGCGACGCCGCATTCTATATTAATCTCATGCTGGTGCTGTTGGCCGGGGCCCTTAATATCTACCACTATCTGAGCCTTTCCTTGATTATAGTCCACCATGGGCTGTTGCAGGTCGCTGAAAGCAGAGAATTGTCTGGTAAGTTGCAACAGGTGCCCACACTAAAATCACTGACAAGGTTTGAATACGTTTTTCTGGTCAGTGCATAGGAACACCTCTTCGTCATGGCTCTTTATGGTATCTCAGCTTTCCGCTTGGTACGCGGAGCGAGAGCATAAACGACGCGAAGTACTTGGCGAGGTCTGGCTGGATTGGGAGAGTGGCAAACTCTCGCTAATGGACAACCTCAGCAGTAGTATTCCACACAACACGTCAACACGTGAGGCCTCGCGAAGACGCACTGCACAATGGAATAATAAGAGTGGCGAGCGGCGAGTGAGGAGGAAAGTTGAGATGTTGATAGGAATGCTATGTGCTGCTTTCGTGGAGGCAGTCGACCTATTGCAAATAGGAGATGTCAGTCTAGGGAATGGCTGTATTTGTTGCGTCTCTCATGAGTGTCTAACATTGCAGGTTCCGGCCGATTTTCTCGAGTTTATGTTATCCTACTGCTTTGTTCTGCAGTGGGCAACGGCGAAGAAAAAGGTGAGACACCGAGGTTAGCTTCAGCCGAAACAGGTCAAGCAGAGACTTTGTCACGATCCTATTGATAGGTTGAAGGTGGAAGAGATTCTGATCAGCAAAGAGGTGCGCTTGTGAGGATCGTAGGAGAGGCTGCAGGGCTTCGTATGCGCTTCTATGCAGGTGGCAGTCCATATTTGTCAGTCATCGATGGCTTGCCAAATAAACAGTTGAGGTCTATCTGGCCGAAAAACCTCACGCAATCTGACGTCTCCTTAATCGCGAGAAGCGGCATGACCCTACACGACCTGCAGGTTTGAAGACTTTGAACACATACATTCCTTCTCGTCGTTGTGCGCTACATCTCTTCTTTCCAGTCGAAGCTTTGGCTGGTGGTGGATGAGCTGGTTGCCCGACAGTATAAGTATGAGGAACTCGCTCGTCGACAAGCAAGGACCAGACAATACGTCAGGAGCCCATCAAAGCTACAGTTTTCTACCACCGGCGAGTTGGACTGTTGCTCTGAGAACGTGGAGGGCTGGCGCGAGCCATATTGGGCTTATCGACATGCCAAAGGCTACACACAGTCACGTAAAGACGGTGCCGCCAAAGGCCTTGAAGAGCACATAACAGAGAAAATGCAGCACATAAAGGTGTCTCATAAGAAAAGGAACTTCTGTGGGTGCTGCATTTCTGCGGCTCTATTTGTGTCTGTTGCGTGTGTCAGTCATCCGTGCAGGGTATTGAGAACCGCTGCACTGAGCTGTCGAGCGAGCTAAAGGCCATGCAAATTGACATAAGCCAACGATTCGAGATGGCTCGAAATGAGACAGAGGGGAATGAAGCGGAGAAGTTACCAAGTGATGATGAGCTGCGAGAGTACGTTTTAACTCTTTTTACACAAGCGGCAGACAGAAATGAGCCTGAGTAAACAAGTGTAAGCACCGTGCATATCTCTGCACGTGGATGGACACTGACACAGACCAAGCGGCCCAACACGCGCCCGTCATGTGCTATCGACAACCCGTTCAGTGTATCGCAGGTTCGCACTTCCGAGCCCCCGCTGCAGTGCATGGTCCGTGCAGCCGCATGCCTGCACATTCAGCACAACCATGCACGGAGTCCATATTCACTGCACACCGCACACATGTTTGCTCACCGCGACAATCTCATCGTCGCTTTGTTCCCTCTCATCAAGCATGCGCGCGGGACTGCTGGATGAGAGCTTTGGTGGCTGAACGCGTGGCAGCTGTGGATATTTCTTCCAGCACAAAGCCCAGGAACTGCTGCTGGCTGTGGTGGTTGCGAGCCGGTCGACCATCAGGTGGGCAAAGGATGCAGGCAGGAAGTCGGGATACGTCAGCTGCAGCAGCCAGTGACACACATGGGTGGTGGGCTCTCTCGCTCTCTCTCGCTCTCTCTCTCCCCCTCTCCGTGTGTGTGCAGTGAATTGGTCCATTTACCGGGTGCACCCCGCTGGTCTGCTGTTTGTGCCACTCGAGCAGCCGCCGACACAACACTAGGTCGCCACGCAGCTGCAGGTGGGGAGGGAGATAACGACAACACACACACATCGGCCTCTGAATGTGTGAATGTGTCTCTGAAGGTGTGGTCACCTGGCTGACAACGTGTCGCTCGGGCTGGATGTTCTCCGAGATGACCACCCCCACCCCCAGTATACTCCCCCCAGAATCGCTGCAGCGCTCGGAAGTCCTCACTCCTCTTGAGGTCGCCCAGCAGCTTCGCGGCCCTGCAGTCGAAAGAGATACAACAAGAGCATTCGGCTGCTTTTCTTTGCTACCGGCGAATGTGTTGGTGTTGGCTGGGGTCAGGTTTGGCCGCCCTCCACACGCCAGCACTCTCCTCAAAGCCAACACACTGACACACACGATACCAAGAGGATGCCCATATAGCTGTGGTGCTGTGTCTGTGTCTCTGTCGCGGCAGGATGGGATGTGTGTGGCCGTCTTACCTCCAGTCACGAACGCCATCGTCAGGCATCCGGTGAGTCTCATTTGTGGCTCATCTGACTGCCACAAATCATATCGACGGCGCCACACTCGACCAACATATCACGGTCGGCATCGGTACCTATGAGGGCCAGGGTATCACCAATCAGAGGCAAGCAGGGCGTATACAGCGATCAGCCGTGCAGCCAGCCAAAGGTGGCGGCTCGTCCCGGCGCTGACCTTGGCCCTCGATACACGCCCAGGCACACAACTCCGCCACATACCCCCATCACCCGAACACGGTCGCCCTCCTCAGTCGTGCTGGTGAGACTTGCCAGTATGGGCACGAAGGGCGCCAGCTTGACCAGTGGAGGCAGGGACGGCCGGACACTCCACAGGGTGAAGAGCAGCTGGACACCTATGGCGAGCACCTTGATGTTGGTGCTCTCGCGCATCGCCTTCAGCAGCGGCTCCAGGACGCCTGCGGCCGCCACCACGGCATCGCGACCGGCCACTGATCCCTCCGTGACGTTGCACAGCGCCTCGATGGCCTCTGTACGCACATCGTCATCGGGTGACGACACGAGCTGCACCAGCGGCGGGACCGCACTGGCATCCACCACGGCCGCGGCATGACGCAGCGCCAGTCTGCTAAGGGCCACCGCTGCTGCCACACTCTCCAGCTCCTCGCGCCCGCTCAGCTGCTCGACCAAGACAGGCACCACAACGACGTCGACAGCCTTCTGCTCTATGGTGGCAGCCATGTGGTCGATGCTCAACAGGCGGAGGAGCTGATACATGGCGCGGGACCAGAGTTGCTGATCGCTCGCCGACGCCGTCAGGTGGCAGATGTCGGTCATGACGGCGGTGATCTCGGTCTCGACGGCATCCAGCCCTCGCTGCTTGATGTGGTCTGTTGGATGGCATCGACCAACTTGCCCGCCTTGGCCCGCACTGCTTGGGGCGACGGATGGTCATCTTTGGCCTCGGCTGTGCCGCCCGCCGACTCCATTGCCTCACAGCTGCAAAGACCGACACACAGACATTCACGCGCAGAATGGTCCGTGCCTGCTCCGATGTCACGACTCACACCTGCGAAATGAGACAGATCAGGGCTGCCCATGGATGACTTCTGCATGGCTGCTCACTCACTGACAGAGATCTCCTCCAGCTCAACGAGATGCGAATTGACTCGAGGGCCGAATGCCGCAATTGGGGCCAAGCTAGCACTCCCTTCGGTTCCGTTGCGGGGGCTTCTATGGGGCTTTGCATGCATTTCAACGTAACGAGTCCCGCCAGCCCGACGGAGAATGACCGAGAACACTGTTTGTCCTCTCTCACCCGTGCGGGGGACTGTGAGGGTCCTTCAAGAGGATGGCGATGAACCATGCAGTGATGTGCCTGATCTGAGCAGCAACTGGTCCCAGCCCGGCCTTCGAACCAATCTGGTAGACGAACAGAACGACAATGAGGACAAGGGAGCAGCTGATGGCGGCCACGTCATGACCAACGCACACGTGCGGAGGACTGTGAGACTCTTTCAAGTGGATGGCGATGCATATGAACCATGCGATGTGAGCAACAGCTCGTCCCTGCCCAGCCTTGGAAACAATCCGCTGGACGAACGACAGAATAGCAACGAGGACAAGGGGGCAGCTGATGGCGACCACATCAACATCACAGCGTACGAGCACGGGGACGAAAGACGACGAGCGTCAATCACCTCAATCACAACCACCACAACGGCAGGGCAGACAAACATCGCAGTCAACGACAGCAACAAGGCGGACGGGAAGCAAAAAGAGGGCCGTGTGTTGCCTGGCGAGGAGCGAGCGATGGATGCATTAGTTCGTGAGTTTCGTGAGGCGGCTGGCTATGATGCCGCTTATGAGGAATTCGACACGACGCTCGAGTACAGGACGGTGGCGGACCCCGACGGCGGAACACGAGAGGTGCTCGTGGGTGCACACTTTGCCCCCGAACCTCTGAGGATCACCGTCAGACGAGTTATGAAAGTCATCATACGGCAGCTGGGGATGGCTCTTGGCATCGCGGCGCTTCTCGTTCTTTACACACTCGCTCTTTGGCAATTCGCATGCCGATCACTTTTCGACCTGGGTCCCGCTTTCGACGTCATCCGTCGTATTGTGGCATGCCTCATGGTAATCCTGTTCTACCTGCATATTACTGAGGGAGTGGATCTACATATGATGCTCTCCAGGCTGAAGGAATGCCGGCTCATCTTCGCCGTTCTGATGATGCTCTCCATCCTGATTGCTGTCGCCCACCAAGCGCACGGGAAGGGAACTTGGAGGAGACGCATTATCACACCAATGTG